CATGTGACAAGAAGGTGACAAAAGCGTGGGCTTGGACATCACAGCCTTGGATCGAATCCTGGCACTGCTACTTCCTTGCTGGGTGATGCTGGCACACCTCTCTGAGCCTCAGGCTCTGCTTCCTCTAGGGATGAACACAACAGAGCATCAGGTCTCTGGGAGGGAGATGGCTAAGGCAGCCTCCCTTTCTTTGGTGGTAAAATGTTAATCTCTCCTCCTGGGGCTGGTCACTGTAGGTGAGGTCATCTTCCATGTGATAATTCAGCACATTGGAGGCTGCAGGTGAGCAGCAGAGGATACAGCTAGGATTAGCCTTCTCTGCAAGAGGTGGGGGCCCAGCACAGGACCCAGGTGGGGCCACCTTGTAGCCCATCTGGGCCAGCTCCCCTCACCGCAGGAGGGCTTCACTCCAATTCCAGCCAGCTTCCAGGGCAGGTAGATCCCAGCTGCCCCGTCCAAACATCCTCTTCCTTGTCTGGAGCCTGGAGGAGCTAAAAATGCCTGGCTTAGCCCCGGGAAAACAAACACTGCGCTTCCCTCGCCTTTGTATACAGGACAAGACCCAAGGCTGCAGGGTGGCCCCCCCAGGCTAGCTGAAGCCCAGGGGGTCTGTCTGTCTGCCTTCCTGGGGTCTCCTCTCCTGCCTCCCTGGTACTCAGTCACAGTGGCCAGAGCCTTGTCAGGGTGGGGGATCTCCAACAGACGTGGTGTGGGCTCTATGGAAAGCCAAACCCCTCCCTCTCCAGGTGAAGTCCTGGGCCCTTCTTAGGCTCAGGCCCTCTCCTGGCATGTGTGCCCACACACTCAACATGAGTAATAATGATCATGGCGACCAACATTTGTGGAGTGCTCACACTATGCAGTGAGGTGGCTACCACTGTTACCCATATTTTGCAGATGAGGAAACTCTCAGGGAGGTTAAGTAATTTGCTCAAGGTCACAGAGCTAGGAAATGGTAGAGCAGGGCTTTGACCCAGGCAGTCTCTGATGGAAAGCCTAATCTCTTGCTCTCTCTGAGCCTCAGTTTCCTCATCTGCACAATGGGCACACATGATGGTAATGCCTTCCTCCCTAGTTGGCTGTAAGGGCAATACAAGGCAAAGGGTAAGGAGGTGCTTTAAGGACAGCCAGACTGGGGTGGGGAGTGGTGGGGCTGAGATAGCAGGGGTCTGGAGGAGTTCATCAAGTCCACCTAGAATGGTATAGGGTGTGGGCTTTGCCATCGTACAGCTCTAGGCTAAAGCCTTAGACCACCTGAGGTATGGCCTTAGAGTGTCCCCAGCTGGGAGCTCCACTTCTTCCTCCATCTAGTAAGATAGCCAGATGGGGGTGTGGGGTGTGGTGGGTGGGTGGATGCTGGGACAGCAGGGGTCTGGAGGAGTTGATCAGACCTGGCACAGGTGTTGCCAGTGCCCTCTTGGCAGAGTGGAGGTCCTCATTCCATGTGATTTCACCCTTCTAGTCATGAGGGCATGAGTCTACCCCCAGGATTGAACAGAAGCCCTGCTTGGTACTTCCTCACCTGGGTCTGGGCCCCATTCCTGGGGTGTAAGATATTTGTAGTAGATGAGATAGCTCCAAACAGTCTAAAAGTCTAAAAGTCCCTGTCCTTGTGCAGGCCCCTTGCCCCAACACCCAGCTGAGGACTATGGTTGCTCTTTTCCTGTTTGCCTCAGACCCCTCATAGAGTGAGGGGTGGAGAGTTGTAGGGGTGTGGCCTCCATAACATGGACAACAATCTATTTCTTGCTCTCCTGGAGAACCTGATTCCTCAGTGGCCCTAATGCAGAAGAGACTTCGCTGTGACTCTGAAGGGGTGCCCCTCAGGGGCCCTGTGCTTCCAAGTTCAGGGGCTCATGCCACAAGCCCTCACTACCTCTTTCTACCTTTTAGGAAGGGCCTAGCATCTTTACAACAACTGACCAGGACTCAGAAGAAGAAATAGGCAAGATATTTAATCATTTATTTGTTCCTTCAGCAGACATTTACTGAGCAACTACTGTATACTGGGAGCTGGCAGGAGGCCTTGCTCACCCTGAATCCAGTCAGGTGCTAGGCTGATAAATGGGCAGATGCTATGGGATCCAAGCAAGCACTAAGCCTGGCAGGCCTCCTGGAGGGGGTGTCCACTAAGCTGAGCCTGGCAGGAGAAGTGAAGGTGGTGTTCTTTAGAAACTGTTTGTCTATAAGGAGAGAGTACAGAAAAGGGGCACTTCTTAGCATGGCATTCAGGCCTGTGTACCATGCCTGCTACCTCTGCTGGACCCTGTCCTGCCATTTCTGGCCTGTGTACAGAGACATCTGGATTGAAATCTGTGTCATCTCACTTAAGCCTGGAAGTCTCCTGAGCGCTAAGACTGAGTCTCCTTCCTCATACTATTTGTTAGTTCTTCACACAAGGTCTGTACACAGTAGGTGCTCAGTGATGCTGTTCCAAGTAGCTCCCCCTGCCTCCCCACTCTGTCCACCCCATCCCCCAGGCCAAGCTGTGTGCTTCCTCCTCTGTATTTCTACAGCACTTTGAACCTGCGTCAGTGCTCACACTGGCACAACTCTTTCTAGCTGGCAAAGTGCTTTTAAAGCGCTTTTACATATATTAACGCATGTGAGGCTCACAAGAAGCCCTATGTAGAAAGGGTCATTGTCCACACCATCATCATCATCACCTGCTGGGAAATAGCATAGCATAGTGGTTTACGCATGTGGGCTCTCTAGTTGGACTGCCAGTCCAGGCCCTATGACTCATTGGCCGTGTGACCTTGAACAAGTTGCTTAGCCTCTCTGTGCTTCAATTTCACCATTTGTAAAATAGGAGTTATCTACCTCATAGGAGCACTGACGGGCTACAGGTAGAGTAAATAGAATACTGCCTACCACAGTTAGCTCAATAATAATGGAAGCCATTATCATTCAATTTATAGATAAGAACACAAAAGCTCAAGGTCAAGATCAACCAGCTATCTCAGTTAAACAGGGGTTTTATCTTGGAGTCTTTACTTCAAATCTAGTGTTGTGGGATTATCTCCCTCCAAAACCCTTTGTCCTCCTGTTTCCTAATTTATCTGCTTATGTATCTGTCTGTCCTTCTCCATGGTAGCTCCGCCAACCATGGGACCTGTCAATATTATGACTAGTTCCCACCTATCTCCTCAGTGCCCGAACAGTGCTTGGACACTACTGAACCCTTGAAAGCTGTCTTTTTTTTTTTTTTTTAGACGGAGCCTCAAGCTATCCCCCTGGGTAGAGTGCTGTGGCATCACACTCACAGCAACCTCCAACTCCTGGGCTCAAGTGAGTCTCCTGCCTCAGCCTCCCAAGTAGCTGGGACTACAGGCGCCCGCCACAACGCCCGGCCATTTTTGGTTGCAGCCATCATTGTTGTTTGGTGGGCCCGGGCTGGGGACTCGAACCCACCACCCCAGGTGCATGTGGCTGGCGCCCCAGCCGCTTGAGCCACAGGCGCCGAGCCTAAAAGCTGTCTTGAAAGAACCATATGCTCAGTGTCTCTGCATGGATCATCTCTGATCCTTCAGACCACTCTATGAAGTGGGCAGAAATTCTTTACAACTGCACTGGGGTATAATAAACTATTGGCTTTGTTATATGTATGCACCTGTAAGCCCATCACCACAATCAAAGAGGATACCCATTTCCATCATCCCTAAAATTTTCCCATACCTCTCTGAAATCTCTTCCTACCTACAGTTATAGACTAATCTCTGGTTTACAGAGGAAGAAAATGAGATGCTGAGAAGTAAAATAACCTTCCCAGGGACAAGCCCAGCAACTGATCACGCCATGATTTGAACCAAGGTGATGTGTCCCCAAGCTGCCTCTTGCCACTGTGCTATGCTAGTGGGTGGTAGTCAGCAGAGGGTGGGTGCCTGTCTCCCTCCTCTGTTCCACCCTGTCCAGGTCCAAGAAGACAGTTTATAAGGAGATGGCATTTACAGTGTGACTTTCTCAGTGAGAACATGTGTGAAGAGCAGGCTGACACCCCAAAAGGATATGTTTGGGTACGAAGGGTGGACAACAGAAACAGTGCAGCAGCCTTAAAGCCAGAAGGCTAGGAGATGCAGGAGCCAGTGGTGGGTGCTGGGCTCAGCGTGAGTACGTGTGACTCTGTGACTGTGACAGTGTGACTGCTGAAGGCAGGGACATAGCAGCTCCCTGACTGGGGGTGGAAGGCGTTAACTGTGTGAATGCTGGTGTGGGTGGGCCCCTGGGCCCCCGAACCTGGGGGCTGAGGGAGATAGTAAACATCAGGGTGATGGGAGGATCGTGTTGGTAGCCCTGAGAGGATGCAGCAGGGTTGTGGGGGTTTGTGTGACTTTGCAGTTCAACAAATTCATATTCAGCCAATGCTGGCAGTACCTATTGTGTGCCAGGCAACCAGCTAGGAGGAGGAGACTCGGACCCAGCCCACAGCTGAATGAACTGGTTGCTGGGTTTTGTGTGCTCACCTCATGGTGCTTTTTTGCCCTTTCTGGCATTTCATCTTCACAATAACCTACCTACACTTTGAGGCTAGATAGAGGAGCACAGAGGGAAGTGACTTGCCCAAGGTGACCCAAGTTATTCAGTGCCAGGGCAGGATCTGAATCCAAGCCATCAGGCTGCAGAGCCTGAGTCCTTTCCCACCATGCCTGCACCAGAGTGCAAATGTCAGGTTCCTGGAGGGGGGCCTGAACTCCCGGCCTTGGCCTTGGAGACATCCCCCCAGTGGGCTCCGAATTTGTTCATGGTCACTGTGCAGAGGGATGAGGCTCCTGGCCCTTAGCTCGTTTCTTAGGGCCAGATTCACGAAAGGAGGGACTACCTGGCTCTTAGAGACCCCTAAGTGCCCCACCCTCGCCCCAGGCCCTCCCTAGCTCCTGCCCCCTCCCCTCGGGGCTGACTCTGGGCCAGAAGAGGAAAGGCTGTCTCCACCCACCTCTGCACTCTCCCTTCTATAAAGGCCGGAACAGCTGAAAGGGTGGCAACTTCTGCAGCAGGAGCGGCCCGCCAGCCTCCCAGTGCACCCGCAGCCTTCCCGGCTACCTCCCTGAGGGCTCCCTTCTGGCCACCAGTGCCCATTTTTTATCCCCGAGATAAGAGATATTTTGCGCACACACATACACACACGCGCAAAAAGGAAAAAAAAAAAGCCCACCCTCCAACCTCGTTGCAAAGAGAAAGCCGGAGCAGCCGCAGCTTGCAGAACGCAGAGGACGCCCGGTGCGGCGAACCCGCGGGCAGACGGACCGAAGGACTCACGCCGCCTCCACCTGTCGGCCGAGCGCGCAACCGTGCCCGCCGACCGGGCCCTGAGCCAGGGCGCACACGCTCCCGCCCCCCGCCCAGCCCAGGCGGGAGTTTACACCTCTCCCCGCCCGGGTGCTCGGGCCGCTGCTGTAAAGCCAACTTTGGAAAAAGTTTTTGGGGGGTGATTTGAGCCTTGAGGTGCTCAGCCCTGTGCTTCGCGATTTGGGGGGACCTTTCCAGAAAATGTTGCAAAAAAGCTAAGCCGGCGGGCAGAGGAAAACGCCTTTAGCCAGAGAGTGAAGACGAAACATCGACTGCTGTGTTCCTTTTCCTCTTGGAGGTTGGAGTCCCCTGGGCGCCCCCACACGGCTAGACGCCTCGGCTGGTTCGTTACGCAGCCCCCCGGCCGTGGATGCTCACTCGGGCTTGGGATCCGCCCAGGTAGCGGCCTCGGACCCAGGTCCCCGCACCCAGGTCCTCCCCAGTCCCCCAGCTACGGAGCCGGGGCCGGGGGCGGCGTCGCCCGGGGGCCATGCCGGTGAGCAACGGCTGCAGCGGCCTGAGCGCCTGATCGCCGCGGACCCGAGCCGAGCCCACCCCCCCTCCCCAGCCCCCAACCCTGGCCGCGGGGGCGGCGCGCTCGGTCTACGCGTCCTGGGCCCCGTGGGGCCGGGCCCGGAGTCGGCATGAATTGCTGCTGGGCGCTCTTCCTGTCTCTCTGCTACCTGCGTCTGGTCAGCGCTGAGGTGAGTTACCACGGTGGCTGAGGCTACTTCTCCATTCATTACCTTCAACCCCCACTTTCTGACCGCCCCCTCCTCTCCTGACAGTGAACTTTGGACCCTTGCAGCCCGTGAGCCTGGCGCCGGGCGCTGGGTGACCTAGGGCTGGGAAGCGAGGTCCAGTAGGTGCTAGGGAAAGAGGGCAACGGGGGCTTGCTTTTTATTGGACCAACCTAGATCCCTAATCCGTTCAGCTTCTGGGGCCCTGCCCCCACCTCCCAGGAGCCCGAGAATAAGCCCCTTCTCGGCCGGGGAAGGGGGGTGGGGTGGTGGCAAGGGTGCCAAAGGCAGCGCGTACTTCGGAGCCCACTTCGGCTCCAGCCTCGGCTTAGGTTCTGTCCAGGCACCGGCTTGCCCAGGAGGTGCGATCTCGTGGACCCGTGGCATCTATGCCGACATTTAGCGGTGTTTGGGTTCCACCCTGGCTCCTGCTCCCGGTCGGGGTTGCGCAGGGCAAGTCCGGCCCCAGAGCATGGTCCAGGAGCAGCTTGTGTCTTGGGCGCGGGGGCAGGAGGCGGGGAAGGGGGTACGCGAGAGAGACAACACATACAGATACCGGTAGGTTTCAGGCACTCGGGTTACGCAGAGGACTGGGGGTTCTTAAGGAATCCAGCCCCCGGGGCGGTGTGTGCCTAAGGCCCCGCCATACCTGTGCCCTCGCCCTGCGAAAGGACGCACCTCTCTCCCCCGCATACGGGGTGCGGAGTGCGCCGCCTGCAAAAGCCTAGCAGCAAGGGAGGTGGGCTATAAAAACGTCTGCGGAGCGATCAGGTCGGATCAGTTTTCTCTATCCTCCCAGCCTCACGTAGCAGTGAGTTGGCAAGTCTTTCCGGAATCCAGGTGGGAAAGGGGGCGGGGCAGGGAGGAGGCGCGAGGTGGAGGAGACCCGAGGGCGGCAGGGAGTGCGGCGTGCCTGGGTCGCGTCCCACTTCCGTTCGACAGTGGCCCGAGCCCGCACCTAGCCGGCACCTCGCCTGCTCCTGAAGAGGGTTGGTCTCTTGGGCCTCCTGAGAGCAACAGGAAACAGGCAGCGGCGGCGAAAGGGTTAAGGCGGAGGGCTCCCAGGCCAAGGCCCGGCCTTGGGCCGCGGCCAGCGCAGGTTGTTTTGACCACTGAGGAGCCGTCGCCGTCTCCTTTTGTTCTCGGGGCTCCTCGAGGGCCGCGGGCTGTCTGCCCTGGGACCCCGCCCTTCCGCGGCTGCACCCCGCGACAGCACCCGGGAGGGAGGACGCGAGACTCGGCCCAGTGGCCTGCAGGCCCCTCCCGACGTCCCCTCCCAGTCTCTCCCGCAGCTCCCCGGCCGCAGCCAGCTGTTGGTGAGAGGGGCGCCGGCTGGTCCCAGCTGCCTCCTCGCCTCGCCGTGGGACCTGGGGGCCGGGCCCTGTGCCAGGGCGTCCTGGGAACAGCAGCGCCCCGCGGCTGCTCTCCGCAGCCCACCCTGCCCGGCCCTCGACTCGCTCACTCACCCCACGCATGCACACTCCTGGCCGGAGGCGATGCTGCGCTCCGGCGGGCGCGCAGAGCGACGGGCACGCACTACCGCGGCCGGGTCGCGCGCCCGCAGCCGCCACGCCCGTGCACACTCGGGACACACGCGCGCGCACCACACCGCACACGCACGCACGGTCCCTGCACACGCGGCCTCAGCACACGTGCGCGCACACCCACGCACGTACACAGGCACGCATGGCCCTCGGGCACCCAGCGCCTGGTGCTCGCCCCCGCGCAACAGGTGGGCCCATTATGGGCCCTGGCACCTCACCTCCTCTGCAGCGACCTGTTTCCTTCCTGGGATCCCATGAGGGAGGGAGAACCTGTCATCAGGTCCCAACTCACAGCTCCACTTTTCTTTTTGCCTGTCGGATCAGCCCGACGCCCCTCAAACCTTACCACTTCGTGGTTGCTTTTTTCCAGCCACCCCCAAGCGGCCGAAAATGGAGTTGATGGTTGATATGACTCAGGGCCGCTGGGATGTTCAGAGCAATACTCCCTTCAAAGAAACCCTTATTTGAGCCTTTGAGAGTGGAGGGACCTTGCCACTCCCAACTCGGCTATTTTATTCTCTTTGCTGATCCCAGCAGGCTCCGGAGAGGAGGTTTTCCAGGCCTCTCTTACCACTTCCAGCTAGCTCAGCACCTCCTCCTCCTCCTTTCCCACAGCTCCATGGGCTTGTGTGTTTGGGGTGGAGGCTATGGTGCAGGACTGCCTTCCTCCTCGATTTAGTCACAGCACCCATGAACACACAGATGTAGTAGCCCAGGATTGTATGCGGTGCTTTGCAGTTTATGAAGCATTTCCCTGCTGCGCTTGAGTAAGCCTCCTGCTGGCCCTGAAGAAGGCCTGACTGGGACTCAGATCCACACTAGACTGTCCAGGAAAGCGCTTCTGTTTGCCAGTGCAGAGAGACTCAGGGAGGGCTTGCTGGTGCAGGCGGCCTTGGAGCTAGCCATGTTCCCAGACATGCTTGGACTGTGTCTTAGGTGGAGGCCTTTAGCAGCTGGGGTGGTGGCTGGCAGGATCAGAGGGTCTACTTAGGCTTCAGAGGTGCCATCACCACTAGCTCAACTGGCTTCCAGGAGGGTGACTCCCACTGTCATGTGATGACTCTGGCCTCAGCACCCTTCTGCTAGGAAGGAATGAGGGGGCCGCATAGCCCTGCCCCACCTAGCTTCCGCTTAATGGCCTTAGGGGGCTGGAGATGGACTGTTGGAATGCCCCAGCCCTGGAGGTGTGCAAAGTCTGGTCAGGCAGAATTTGAAGGCTGTGTGTATGGGGGAGGAGGGGTTGACTCAGCTGCAGTGGTTAGATGTTTGCCATGGGCCTAGTAAGTACTTCTTATAGTCTTTATCTTCCCTCTCCCACCCACACCCCTCAACTGAGATGCCCCTTCTGTGACAGCTCTTTCCATTTTGTGGTTTATTTTGTTATCTGCTTTCCGCACTGGCCTGGCGTGTCAGCTCCACTAGAGAGCTCTTGTCCTGGTCACCACTGTTAGGACATTGCCTGGAGCAGGATAGACAGTAAATATTTGTGCAAAGGACAGTGAATGGGGGTGGGGGGGGACTTGCCCTAGGTGCTTTATAAGTCTGGTCTCTTTGAGTCCTTGCCTGAGGTCAGCCCCTCCCCCTCAAGGCCTTGTTGCCCTCTGGCTTCTGTCTTTCAAGGCCCCCCCATCTTGAGAAAAGCATTTCTTTTTCTTCCCTGTCTTGGGCCTTGGGCTGCCAGGATTAGACAGGACAGAGGGGAAGAAACCAAAGGAAAATTAGACTTTGTGTATCTTTAGCTGGGCCTCAGTTTCCACCATCTAAAAAACTTTTATTTGTTTTTTTGCAACAGAGTCTTACTATGTCACTCTAGGTGACACCTCCAACTCTTTCTTGGGCTTAAGCCATTCTCTATTGCCTCAGCCTCCCAAGTACCTGGGACTACAGGCGCCTGCCACAACGCCCGGCTATTTTTTTGTTGCAGTTGTCATTGCTGTTTAGCTAACCTGGACTAGGTTCCAACCCCCCAGCTGTGGTGCATGTGGCCGGCACCTTAACCACTGTGCTATGGGCACTGAGCCATTAAAAATTTTTTTTAAAAGATTGGATTAACCAGGCCGGGTGCTGTGGCTCACGCCTGTAATCCTAGCACTTGGGAGGCCGAGGTGGGTGGATTGCCTGAGCCCACAGGTTTGAGACCAACCTGAGCCAGAGTTAGACTGTATCTCTAAAAATAGCTGGATGTTGTGGTGGGTGCCTATAGTCCCAGCTACATAGGAGGCTGAGGCAAGAGAATCACTCAAGCCTAAGAGTTTGAGGTTGCTGTGAGCTATGATGCCACAGCACTCCAGGGCAACAAAGTGAGACTCTGTCTCAAAAAAAAAAAAAAAAAAAAAGAATTAGCTTAGAGTTCCCAAAGAAGAGAATTCCCTGGCCTCTTGACTAGGATGGGGGAGTGATGGGAGCAATGATAGCAGTGCACAGCCAGGATTAAAAATGGCTGCACTGGTGCCTCTCTTTCTACCTTAACATTTCCTCGGTTTCAGCAAGAGCTGGGGTGGCTGGTGTGCTGGGCTTCCATGAAGGAGGGAGAGGCTGATCAGAGGGTCCCAGGAGCAATTATATAGCAAAGTGCTAGGTGGGAAGAGCTGGTTCTAAATGGCTTCTGTGGTTTGCCCAGAGAGGGCTTCTTCAAAGGATTGGCTTTGGCATCTGATCTAAATAAGGCCTGCTCCTCTCAGGCAAGCAGGCGTGAGGAGGCCTTGTCAGCTTCTTCCTTTGCCAGCCACAGACAACGCCCTGGTTGAGGGCTGTGTCTCCCTCGGCAGGAATGGCAGACAGGCTAGGGAGTGTGTATTTGTGTGTGTGCATGCACGCGCACGCGTGTTGGGGCCCAGGAGGGTGGGGTTCAAGCCCCTTTGATCTGCCAGCCTGGTTGGGAGCAGGTAATTCACCTGGCCTCATGCTGGCTCGTGCCCTTCCTACCTTTTGCAGCTGGCATTGAGGGTGGGGTGGGGAAGAGGCTGTTTGCCTTGGCTCCCATGCCTGGCTTTGCCCCAGCTGCCTCCTCACCACGCCTAGGCCTGCGATCCTGGGCAGCTTCTTAGGGTACTGGGCCTCCTTCTCCATCTTTGAGGGGAAGTGCCCACTTGGAGTCCCCAGAACCCGGGCCCAGGAACCACAGAACCACGCTCCAGACAGCCCACCCTCCCACACTTCCAAGTAGGTGCCCTGTAAGTGTCCACCTCCCCTCCCCACCAAATCCTGGAGTTGACCACATGCTGAATGTCCCCATCCCCAGGGCCCGGAAGGGACCTGCCAGCCCACACGGCCCCAGGTGGTGCCAGTGTGGAGGTAGGGTACCATTTCCTGAGGCCTAGCACAGGGCACAATGTGAAGTCACACACTCTCCTGTGAGTGGGTAGCTCTCCACCCACTCCTTGTCATCCTCCTAAGTGTCCTGCACCTCTGGCCCTGAGCATGTGCAACACTTGCTGCTGCCCACAAAAGAGCCATACGGGAAGAATTAATGATGACAGTGACAGCTCATTACCCATTGTTTGCTGGCTGCTCTGCTAGGTGCAGGCTTGCCTTCTAGAAACCCCAAGTGAGGTATCATTAGCACCACTTAAAAGATGAAGAAGCCAGGGTTTGGGATGATTAAAATACTCCAAGAACGGAGGTTTCCTTGGCATCTGAAGCCCTTGTTCTTAGGGTTTTTCAACCTCTGCACCATTGATGTTTGGGGCAGTAATGCTTCATTGTGGGGCTTTCCTGTGCATTGTTAGGTGCTGAGCAGCACCTCTGGCCACCAGCTGCTTGATGTCAGTAGCATGCCCCAGTCATGACCATGAGAAATGTCTTCAGACATTGCCAGTGTTCCCTGGGGGCCCAAGATGGTTGAGAACCACTGAGGTATGACATGCCGCAGGGGTAATGAGCCAACATGGACCTCAAATAATGCTGAGGGCCAGGTTCCCCAGAGCCCAGGGGAAGGAGGCTGAGAAGCTCTGTGGTGGACTGGAAGGGATGGGTGTTCTGGAGCCTGGGAAGGACCCAGCTCTGCCACTTACTGGTTGTCTAGACCTGTAGCTGCTTGTTTAATTTTTTAAGCCTCAGATTTCTCATCTGGAGGATGGAGATAAAATTAGTGCTAGCCTCTTAGGCTTAGTAGTTTGGACAGCATTTTGCCCTGTGCTTGGCTCATAGTCAGCACTTAATAAATGTTAGATGTGGTATTAATATCAAATCCAGGGGGCTTCCAGTGAGTCTAAGTATCTAGTAGCCAAATTGCCAGAAACGTGTGGGAATGTCCTCTGTGCTGAATAAAATGGGCTCTTCAGGAGATAATTTGCTTGGGGGTGGGAGAAGAATATCCCAGGTGGCCCTCCTAATGGAGGAGGTGGGAGAATCATATCAGACAGAACCCCAGGGAGAAAGGCAGACACCTTCATGCATGTTACCAATATTTACTGAGCACCTATTGTGTGCTTCTTCCACTTCCCCAGTCCCTATCCTCGGTTCTTCCACACTTAGCCTCAGAGGCTTTGAGTTTCCTTCCAGAAGACATCATCTCCTTTGCATCGTGGGCCTGGGTCCAGTAGGCCTCTTTAGGGTCTGCCTCCTTGGCCACAGCTGGCAGCTGCAGCCAGCTGTCCAATGGGTAAAGAGATCGTGGCACAAGCATTAAGTGCCATTTGGTACTAGGCCTTCACGCCCCTCTCCTGGGGGGTTAATGGAATCTTTACTCCATATGCACTCTTGTTTCCCTTCTGTGAGTGAGCAAGGGAGGCCTAGCTGGGCACCTCTGCTTTCATTCACTTTCCTCTGCTCTTTCTGGACCATAGAGGGGCCGTGATCAGCCCTAGGTCATGTGCAGTTGGTAACAGCACACGGTGTGGGATCCAGCTGTCTGGACTGCCTGCCAGTTGTGGGCTTGACAAGACACTTGGGCAGCCACCTTCCCTGTCACTCATGGGAGACCAGCCACCAGCCTTTGGTTCTGTGGGTTGGCTACTTTGTCAACATTTGGAGAACACCAAAGGTGTGATCCCTCTTGTGGAATAGGAGGAGGCAGAGCCCAAAGGAGATGGGGGAGGAAAGTGAAGGGGCCTGGGTCCACCCCGCAATCTTGTGCACGTGGCCCTGGCCACCCAGCAGTGTAGCCATAAACACTGAAGAGAAGACCCCAGTTCTCAGCCAAGACCCCAACCTTTCCTCCATCAAGCCTCCCTGCAGCTCTAAGACAGGAGATGGGGTTATATTGTTCAAGTTCAAAGAAAGAAACCAAAACAGGGCTTTTAAGGAATTAGGTAGCTTGAAAAGTGGTCACCACCACCCCACTGTGTGTCTTGGAGCTCCCAGGTGGATGTGGGTGGCCAGAGTGAGACATGGCTGTACCCTGGGGGAGCTGCTTCCTAACACCATCATAAGTGTCCAGGAAACAGTTTTTGGGGCGAACCTCTAGCACTGGCCATGGGGCTTAGATGACCTCTTCTCCCTGCCTGAGGCAGTGAGAGAGCAGCTCCCGTCCCAAGGAGCCTCTGCTAAACCCCTTGGAACTCCAGTCCCTGAACGATTCAGCAAACCAGGAGGGGCAGGGATTTCTCCCTTTTAATTTTATTTATTTATTTATTTATTTTGAGACAGAGTCTCACTCTGTCTCTCTTGGTTGAGTGCCATGGCGTCCCAGCTTCACAGCAACCTCAAACTCTTGGGCTTAAGTGATTCTCTTGCTTCAGCCTCCCGAGTAGCTGGGACTACAGGCGCCCGTCACAACGCCCGGCTATTTTTTTGTTGCAGTTGCCACTGCTGTTTTTTAGCTGGCCAGGGCAGAGTTCGAACCTGCCACCCTCAGTATATGGGACTTGGCACCCTACCAGCTGAGGCATAGGCACCGCCCGATTTCTCCCTTTTTAATCCAGGGAAACTGAGGCACAGAATGGTTTAGCCCCCAGTAAAAAGCCAAGCCTACTGATGCCCTCTTCAGGGCTCTCTTTCAAGACCCCATGACCCTCCCCATGTGCATATGCACGCGTGTGAGTCAGGTCTGAGCCTCCAGACATACAGAGACATCTTACACATTTTCTTTGCCCCTCGGTGGTTGGAGGTCTGGACTGTGCTTCTCAGTCTTCCATCTGGGCTCACCTTTCTCAGGAGCTCTGGCATCAGCCCCTCAGGTCACCAGGAACTGTGGGGGATATGGCTGTGACCTTCCTGTCGGGCTGCTCTCGTGTCATTGTGGAACCTGCGGTTTCCCTGGAGGAAGCCTGGCTCCGAGTGAGGCCTGTTAAAGCACTTGTCAAGTTTTGAGTGTGTTTGGTAACAGGCCAGAGGGGCTCTAAAAATAGGGCTGGGTTGGGCATGGGGCAGGGGTAAGCGCTCGGGTTTCCCGGCTGTATCTCAGGGTTCCCTTTCTGCTCTTGCAAGTGAGAGACTACAGATACTGCTAGAACTTGTGACCTTCTGAGAACTTACCCTTCTGCAAATCAATTAAGCACCTCTTATACCCAGAAGCCTGAGAGTTCAGGCTCTGCCATCACAAAAACTTGGGTTTCAAGCTCGGCTCCTGTAGCTCAGCGACTAGGGGGCGGTGCCAGCCACATACACTGGGGCTGGTGGGTTCCAACCCAGCGGGGGTCTGCCAAATAACAAAGGCAACTACAACAAAAGAATAGCCAGGTGTTGTGGTGGGCGCCTGTAGTCCCAGCTATTTGGGAGGCTGAGGCAAGAGAATTGCTTAAGCCCAAGAGCTGGAGGTTGCTGTGAGCTGTGATGCCACCGCACTCTGCCAAGGGCGAGACAGTGAGACTGTGCCTCAAAAACAAGCAAACAAACAAACAAACTTGGGTTTCAATGTGGCGTCTGCTGATAAATATCTGCAGAGGATGTGCCCTGTGTGAGCCTGTTTTCTCATCTGCACAATGGGGATTCGATCACCTGTGGTAAATGCTGCTGTCAGGTGTGAAGGAAGAGACAGAGAGAAGTAAGATTTTCGGAGCCTGCTGGGGCACCTGTAGCATGATAGGGGAAACAGACAGACAGGTCCAGCATGAAGCAGGCTGGGATTCCTGCAGGGTCTGAACTGGTCTTAGAGGCTTCGACAGGTTCAGGCACCTAGGCCGTTGTGATATTGGTTGTCAGGCCTAGATCTTGCCTGTCCCCCAGCCTGGCTGTCCATTTGCCCATGATCTGTGCACCCTGTTGGCAGGACAAAGTGTGTGTGTGGGAGATCCATGGCAGGAGAGCCCCGCCTCCAGCTCACTCACGCTCTGTCTGCCTGGCAGGGGGACCCCATTCCGGAGGAGCTCTATGAGATGCTGAGTGACCACTCGATCCGCTCCTTTGATGACCTCCAGCGCCTGCTGCACAGAGACTCCGTAGGTAAATTGGAATCCTTGTCCCTTGCTCTGGCCCTCTGCTGAGCCCTAAGGGGAGCCACGAGGGGCAGGGCAGGAGCCATCCCCTCTTCCCTGACATCCAGAGAACCAAAGGCTGCCCAGAGAGGCCCAGCCACACCCACCCAGGGCAGGGCTGGGTAGGCAGTCTGTTTGGTACCTGGGTCACAGGGTGTGATGGGAGAAGCACCCAAGTGTAGCTCCCGCTGAGGGTGGAGTGCTGGGTGGAGGGCAGGTGGGGAGAAGGTGCCCAGGGCATCCATGTATGTATGGCTGTATCCAGGTGTGGACCCAGCCACAGAGGGTGGGGCTGGAGGAGCCATCTCCCCGCCCCTCTGGCCAAGGGCCTAGTCTATGAGGTCTCCCAGGGACACCTGGCCCCAACCAGCAGAGAGCCATGCCCATGCCCAAGATTACACTCAGCGAATGGGCACGTGCTTGGTGGCACACACGTGGCAGGGCTGGCGGGCTGGACTGGGAATGTATTTATAAATGCTGTCTTCAGAGCAAATTCCATTCTATTCTAACCTCTGGCCTGTTCCCTGGAGCCCTGGTCAGCAACCCCCCTGCATCCCCAGGTCCCCTTCCCTCTGGGGTTCTGTCTCTTTGTCACTTTGTAATCCTTGCCCAGACGCTATCTACGGGGGAACAGCATTTCCTGCCTTTGTTTCCTCTCCCCGTTGGGCCCCTGGCGCCCTCTCAAAAGCATTCCCGGGCCCTTTCAATCCTGCCTCTGCTGGGGGGTGGTGAGGCAGGCAGGAGGGGGCCCAGCTGGGCCCACCTATTGTTCACCAGGGCCCCCACCCTACGTCTCCCACAACCCCCACCCCATGCCCGCCTGCTGGCCCTGGCCACACAATGGGGCAACTTCCAAATTTAGCCTTTCTGGAGTTTCTTTCCAGGGCCCTTCACCCCCACCCTCAGACAGCCTCTCCACACCCGTGGTGGGGGTCGGGATCTTAGAGACAAGGCTTTCAATAGCAGGCCTGTTTTGAGGCAACCATGTGGCTATTTTTTCCTAATCGACTTAACCTTTCCACAAAGCACATCTTTTCCCCATCTCCGCCCCACCAGGGACATTCCAGAGATGGCAGGGAGAAAGGAAGAGAGCGAGAGGGACAGACAGACACTATGACGTGGGAACTGTCAGCCTGGACGGAAACAGACCAGTCAGTAGGGTCCCTGCAGGACCTGGGATGGACAGGCTGTGGCCATTAGGAGCCTTTGTCTTAGACAGGCTAGGGCAAGGAAGTACAAGCCATGAGGTGCTGAGAGGAGGTGGCAGGAACTTGTCCCCAACACCCCTTAGTTTATTTGCTGGCTCCTCACCCATGAGAGAGACAGAAGATCTGTCCATGATTCAATGTCTGGCTCAGAGTCCACCCCCTAGGCCTCACTCCCCAGCAATCAGCCTCTGTCACTGGCTCTAGAGAGGGCTAATGTCTCCAAGGAGTGCTGGTGGCACTGAGCTAAAACTTGTCCAGGCTAGAGAAGGGAGCTATGATTTGTGGCCTGGGGAAAAAATGGGCAGACGTGGGACAGATGTGAGGTAAGAGGTTACAGGGTAAGAGACTATCCAGAGGGAGACCAGGCCCTGGAGGGGCGTGTGTGAAGGCGCTCCACCCCACTTCTCTGCCTTTACCTCCCACCCCCATCCTTCTCTCTCTATTGCTCCTCCCAGCAGGGCCATTGTCCGGGGCTCCAGCGGGCTGTCCAGGGCATGCTGGTCCTCCTGGGGATTCTGGGAATTTCTCCATTCAGCACTTCCTATGGGAACGCTGGGTGGAGGGGCACTGGAAACTGGCCTTTAGTGCTTCTGGGTCCTTGCTCCACCCTGGAGCCTGAGGAGGGTTCGCTTACAGTAGCAAAGGGGAAGGGTTATTTTTAACTTCACTGACATGGGTTCTGGCCAAAAATGTGACTAAAGAGCCCAGGGGTGCAGTCAAGGCCCCCTACTCTTTGAGCCCTGTGGCTGCTCTGGGGTTTGCCTGGAGGGCCCCTTCTCAGAGCCAAGACTGTGGGGAGATAGGGACAGGCAGCCAGGAGGCTAGCCTTCTGCCTTCTCGGAGCCCCCTCCGGAGCCCCCACCCCTTGATTGGACTGGCTGGTGGTGTCTGTAGGGTGTCTGATTGTAGGGTGTCTTCTCCTACAGATGAAGATGGGTCTGAGTTGGACCTGAACATGACCCGGTCCCATTCTGGAGGCGAGCAGGAGAGCTTGGCTCGTGGGAGAAGGAGCTTGGGTGAGACTGAAGGCTGCACCAGGGGCCCCTGGAAGGATGGGAGCCAAGGAAGAAGAACTGGGGCAGGCAGCCAACCTGAGGGTTCCAAGGGTCATCTTTAAACTCTCTTTCCCCATACATTTAGGACTGGGTTAAACTAAGTGTAATCATCCTTGAATGCTCAATGTTGAGAACTTGAGTCATCACCCTCATGCCTACACTGTCTGTTTGCTAAGTATAGTGCTTTGAAACTCATTTGTTCCTTACTTCAACACTGGAGATACATACTATTAACCCCATTTCACAGAATTGAAAATCGGGGCCCAGAGAGGGTAAAGAAGTAGGGAGGTCACACAGCTAGGAAGTGGCAGGGCTGGGTGGGCTGGTATCCCAGCCAGCCTCTTATACTTGAGCTCACTGCCTTCCCTGGTACTGTGTGTCTCCACTTTGACTAAGGGCTGGAACAGTAGATATGGAGCAGAGCTGGGGACTGCTTCATGCTCTCTTGAAGACACTAAGAGATTAGATTAGCAGGGCCCAGAGAAACCTTCCCAGGTGAGGCCAGTGCCCACCTCACACCCTTCCTTCTCTCTTCTCACCTGCAGCCCCCAAAACAATGCAGACAGTGGCTGGGGAAACCTATAGGGGACCTGAGGCCCATTCCTCAATTGGGATGGGTTAGTTTAACTGTAGCAACCTCAGTTTCTCTGTGTTGGGATAATGACAACAGCTGGGGCGTTCCTAGGCCTGGCTTTGCTCATGTGACTTCTTAGATCCCCAGGTGAGACGTACGCACTATTAGTATCCCATTTCATAGATGAGGAAGCTGAGGCTTTCAAAGAAACAATGCTGCAAGAATAGATTGTAAGAGAGCAACATAAGAGTGGTTACAAGATAACATAGACATGGGTAAGGGCCATGTCCGGCAAATCCATAAATGTGTGAGATCATAAAGAATAAAATGATGTGTGCCAGCAGAAAGAAATGGACAGGCAGGCAGTGCCTGTGGCTCAGTGAGTAGGGTGCCGGCCCCATATACCGAGTGTGGTGGGTTCGAACCCAGCCCCGGCCAAACTGTAACAAAAAAATAGCCAGGTGTTACGGTGGGTGCCTGTAGTCCCAGCTACTTGGGAGGCTGAGGCAAGAGAATCGCCTAAGCCCAAGAGCTGGAGGTTGCTGTGAGCTGTGATGCCACAGCACTCTATGGAGGGTGACAAAAGAAAAAAGAAAAGAAAAGAAAAAAGAAATAGATAGGCACTGAGCATTGACAAAGTGCCACACTCTAGATGGTTTCACTTGATCTTTATGGTGATTCTGGGTTTAGATCTTATTACCCCCATTTTGCAGATGGAGAAACTGAGGGTTCAGGCAGCTCAGCCTGAGTCCCATGGCTGATAATATCCTGGACTTGAAACCCTAACCCTGGAGTTGAAGGGAGGGAGAGAGAGCACCCACTGAGCTCTTCTGACAGGTGGGAGGTGCTGGACAGGCTGCGGCTCCTGACAGAGGTTCCTGCCCCTCTAGGTTCCCTGACTGTTGCTGAACCGGCTATGATTGCAGAGTGCAAGACGCGCACCGAGGTGTTCGAGATCTCCCGGCGCCTCGTGGACCCCACCAATGCCAACTTCCTGGTGTGGCCGCCCTGCGTGGAGGTGCAGCGCTGCTCCGGCTGCTGCAACAACCGCAATGTTCAGTGCCGCCCCATCCAGGTGCAGCTGCGGCCTGTCCAGGTGTGCAGTCCGGTTCTGACGGCTGGGCCAGGGCTGCCCTTCCGGGAATGACCAGGCTTTCTTGGGGGGAGTCAAAAGGCATTCCCAGCATGTTCCTGGGCTCTGTCCAGAGAGGGTCACTCTTGGGAAGCTCCCTCTGATCAGGCATACTGAGGTTGACCATGAGTCCTCTGAGATGGCCACTGTCACCAAAGCCATAGACAGGGCTAGGTGTTAAATAATGGATATTGGTCCCCTTCTTTAGGGGCATAAAAATCGCTAAGTGTCCCTTGAAGAGATAGGCCTACAAACATTTATTTGCCACTCACATTGTCCTGCACAGCAACTCAGGCTCCTCCAGGGCCCTCTCCTATTCTCTGATCTCTCTAGAAAGGTGCCGGTAGGCTTCCCTGCATTTCTGACACCTGTTCATCCCCCTTTGACCAACAGTGTCTTTAACGAGGAGCGTGCAGGTAGGGAGGCACTGTGAGAGCTGGGACAGCTCCCCCAGGCAAGACTTGAGTGCTGCTTTGCCTTTCTTCCTGAGAGATTGGGGCTATATACACTCAGGTCAAGAAAATTTTAGAGTAGAGGCTGTCCCAGGGAGCTCCCAAGTCTCACTCTGGGCACAGCAGAGTCAGTGAAACCAGTGCTGTCTTCTGATGCATATGGAAAGGTTTCTGCACCCCTTGGGTCCGACTGGACTGAAGGCCTGTGACACTGGGCAATGGAAACACCTCTCTAAGGCCCAGTACCCCCCATTGCCAGTGCTCTGCCTGCTTGGCCACATGCCCTTCCCCTGCCGTCCACCCAAGGCCTCTCCTCCTGCCCACCTTCCATCCCTGGCCTGGGCTCTCCACCCCACCACCCACTGTCCCCAGTGCTTCCAGATTTTTGGATGGACACCTGACAGCTGACCTCCCCCTTACCACCTTCCTCCTAGATGAAGCATCCCCCCCACTTCCTTTCAGACAGCCATCTCCCGCCTCTGCTGCAGGGCCCTGACCTTGGCTGGCGCTCCAGGAATGAAGATACCACAGGCCCCAGCTCAGCCCGGAAATGCCTTTCTGGCTTTTTCCCTCTCTGGGGGCATTGAGGGGGCTGCAGGTCGGGAGGACTTGTTTTGATGGAAAAGCTATGAGAAGGGCAGAGGGCAAGGTCCTGCTATTGTTTGGGCCAAAGTGTTTGCCCTGCAGGCTGCTCTCTGGGCTTTCGAGGAAAGATCCAGCCAGGGAACATGGATGGGAAGGGCAGGCAGTTTGGGCTCCCTGGGATCCTGCCATATGGCCCCTACAGGGATGTTTTGGTGATTCTGGCCTCCAGGTGAGAAAGATCGAGATTGTGCGGAAGCAGCCGATCTTTAAGAAGGCCACGGTGACTCTGGAGGACCACCTGGCATGCAAGTGTGAGACAGTGACAGCTGTACGGCCTATAACCAGAAGCTCGGGTGGTTCCCAGGAGCAACGAGGTAACTATCTTTTTAAGGTCTGCCTCTGAATCACTCAGCCTCCAGTCCCCTTCCCCTGTAGCAGCTGGGGTCAGGAGCAGTTTTAAAAATGGAGATTGGGACCAGAGTGGTGGCTCACACCTGTAATCCTAGCACCTTGAGAGGCAAAGGCAGGAGGATCACTTGAAGTCAGGAGTTTGAGACCAGCCTAAGCAAGAATAAGATGCCCTCTCTACAATAAATAGAAAAATTGCTGGGCACTGTATAATCCCAGCACACTGGGAGGCCAAAGCAGGTGGATTGCTTGAGCTCAGGAGTTCCAAGACCAGCCCGAAGCAAGAGCAAGACCCTGTCTCTACTAAAAACAGAAAACCTAGCTGGGCATGGTGGGGCATGCATGTCGTCCCAGCTACTAGGAAGGCTAAAGCAGGAGGATCATTTGAGCCCAGGAGTTTGAAGTTCCTCACAGCCCAGGAGCTGTGATGCCATGGCACTCTATCCAGGGTAACTAAGTGAGATTCTGCCTCAAAAAAAAAAAAAA